AACCTTCCTTCCGAGGAGTGGCTGGTGGGTTTGAACCGCCAGCCGTCTGGTTAGCAGGCAAGTGTCTTAGCCACTATGCTACGAGAGCTCCTAGGTAAAGTAGACGGTCAGCAAAAAAGAGGAAGACCTTCAATGAGATGAACTGACACAGTGACTGCAACAATGGGTTCAAACACAGCAAAGACTTGTGAGGATGACACAGGATCGGACAGTTTTATTCTGTTGCTCACGGGTCACTACGGGTCAGAACCCACTCATTGGCACCTAACAACATTATCTGATCTTTATCTATTAATACTTTTTCATCTCTTTCAACCCACTATTTCCTTACTTTATGCTTCAGTCAACCACAGCTATTTAATCTTACCTTGAAAACTCCTAGTATGTTCCCTTTGTATCACCATGTTATTTCTCCTAACCTCCATCCTCACCCTGATAAATAGTCTCTATTCATGTTTACTTTTCAGCAGTTTAAATACCTTTGGTGTTCAAAGAACACTATTTCTGGAAATCCTCTCTATCCTCAAATCTGTAAAATATGTAAAGCTCTTTTACATTACTTAGACATTTCTTTCAAGTTGCTTTCAATTTTAAAAGTAAAGAGATGGGTATGTGTCATATCTTTCCCATTAAGTTAAAGCAACTTGAACAAGAAGTTCATCTTTGGCCTCCCACCATACACTGCACATGGTTAGTATTCAATAAATACTACATATATGTTGAATTTAAATTAAAATATGTAGAAAAATCAATGGTGTGAGAATTTTTTTAAATCTCCATTATTTACTTCCTGGGAGCTCTGGTAGCATAGTGCTTAAGGCACTTGACTACTAACCAGAAGGCTGACGGTTCAAACCCACCAGCCACTCCTCGGAAGGAAGATGGGGCAATCTACTTCCGTAGTGATACCACCTTGGAAACTCAAGAAGGGGTCACTATGAGTTGGATTCGACTCAACAGCACATAACAACAACAACATTTACTTCTCGAAAAGAGGAAAAAGGGATTTTTTTCCTACCATCAAGAGGGTGCCTTCCACTGTCTATGTGTATGAATCTTTATAATTTCATTGGCTCAGAATATAAAACTGCTTTCCAAGGTTTCAATTTTGCATTATTGCATATACCTGATTGCACACTAAACCACGTTATTATTGAAAGCAGTATTGTTAGAAGAAAACGGCTTTCTTGGAGGTTGTCTCAAAACCTGGGTAAAACAATCTTTTTTTTTTAAAAAAAAGAGAAGAAAGGTTGCTAAAAAGGCAAGGAGGCCTGACCTCCTCTAATCCCACAAGAGGAAGGCAGAATCACCATCAATAGCCCAAGGCCTATTCCTGTGAGGCCAGACGTGTTGCCTTCCTCCAGCTCTTTCTCCAAGCTTTCCTCCCAAATCACCCACCACCTCTCTCCTGGGTTCCATAATTCGCTGCAGTGGCCACACAGAACTTACAGATTATGGGGTTTATTAGGGAATCACCAGGCTACAATTTAAGTTCAGGAAAAACGCTCAGTCTCTCTCCCAGCCCACCGTCTCTCAGCCAAGCCTCTCACAGTCTCTCCCCCAACAGTGCTGTCCCTTGGTGTCTTACTCAGCAATGCGTGTCTCTTGTGTCTCTTTCCCAGCAGCACGTGTCTCTCAGGAGCGCCTGTTTCTTTCAGCAGCACGTCTTCCTCAACCAGCAGTTGGAGAGAGTTCTGCCTCTAGGAGGCCTCCTTTTGAGCCTGGCAGAGTGACCAAGCTAGCCAATTACAGCATCAGAACTCTATGCACCTGAGAGAGAGTGGGACCCTCCCAGAACATTGTTTTGTGCCACTCCCAACAGCAATACTCCAAGTGGACAACTTTAGTAATCAGGAGCTCCTCAGTTGCTCATAGCAAATCCCATAAGTCTTTACAAAGACTTATGGGTAGAAAAACCACACTAAGTAATTTACTACACCGCAAGGGTATAGTACAATTATACGTCTATGTCCTCTATGAAATATCCACTAACCCAAATATTTGTTCAGAGCCTATAATTTCAGGCTCAAAGTTAAAAACAATAGATACATGGTTTTAAATTCAACAAGATTTACTGAATATCTACTATGTGAAAAGCACCATGAAGACACAAAGATTAATAATACATAACTTTCACCTTCTAGAATTCATGATTAAATGTACAACATAAACATACAGATAAGCAATTTTAATATAAGGCATATTATATAAGTGCTAAAAAACTCTTAACAAGGTACAAATAGAGAGCGATGAGGAGAGATTAAATTAACCACAGGGAACCAGAGAAGCCTTCACAATAAAAGATAGTTTATATTTGGCTTTTTTCTTATTTTTTAAATCAAGCTATAGCACTCAAACTTTTTCAAAATTAATTATTTTTCAGTAAATAATTTTGTTTACCTATTTTTATTCACTCATATTACAACAATTTTTTTCCCACTAAAAAAGTATTGATACAACACTTAAGTTACATTTTTAATTAAATGGCTTTTTTAAGCTCACCTTGAAACATGGAGAAATGTATTCTACAGATTTGGTAATGAGGAAGAAAACTGGGGGAATGTTCAAGGGGAAGGCACAACATATCCAATAATCTGATTTACTATTTATTTAAAACTACTCTTAGTTAAAAGCTGTTATTAAAGGCCTATGGAGTTGGCCCACCCACTTATGGTGATCCCATGTGTTATAGGATAGCACTGCTCCATAGGGGTTTCTTGGCTACAATCTCTATGGAGGTGCCCTAGTGGCACAAATGGTTAAGCATCTACATGGGAGAAAGACCTGGCAATTTGCATGAAGCAGTTCTACTCTGTCACATGATTCCTTTGAGTAGGAATCAACTCCACAGCACCTAATAAAAATAATCTTTACAGAAGCAGTTTGCCAGGCCTTTCTTCCATAGAGCTGCTGGGAGGGTTCAAACTTCTTGCACCACAAATGTTAGGGACATATAAATGGGCCACCCTATCTTCACAATATGTTCAGTGTACCCATAAAAACCTACTGCCACAGAGTGGATTCCAACTCATAGACACCTCCACAGGATGCCTCATCTTCTTCCTCTAGCGCAGCAGCTGGTGGGTTTGAACAGCTGATCTTTGGTTAGCAGCCAAACGCCTTACCCACAATGCCACCAGAGCACCTTACAGTAAAAAGGAAACAATCTCTTAAAACCACCTCCTCCTCCAACACTGGCCTCTTCCTGATACATGGGCAAAGATCTGAATCAGAGCTTGGAGCATTTGCTTTTCTTAAGCTTCACTGACACCTTGCAGAAGGATTTAGATACTTTACTTAGATAACCCTAAGTATGTTGTTAAAACTATACTGATAGATAAAAGGACCATTCCTCTCAAGCCTAAAAAACATACACAAATGGATGAGAAAAGTCCAGTTGACAGATGCCAATGAAGCACATTAAAATTAAGAGGAAATTATAATTGACTGGAGTGAAATCCAACTGAAGAACATGTAGAATGGAATTCCAAATTAATGCATCTTCCTCCTCACCCTCCTCCCCCCCCCAAAAAAATGTTAAGCTTTTAATTACATTACAGAATTCATCTGTAATTACTGAACAGTTAAGCAATGATTAATGATACAAAACAAAATGTGTGCTGTTTACTGGAAAACTGATTTGCTCTGTAAACTTTCACCCAAATCACAATAAAAAGTTAGAAAAAAAAAAAACTGTGGAGTAAATTACATATATTTTTATAAAACGTGTATTTGCTTTTAAATATCTCATCCAAACCAATCTCTTGAAGATTAACTATAAATACAAGTGAACTAAAATCAGATTATGTAGATTTAGGCACAGCAAGCTGGAAAAGAAAAACTAGAATGTTAAGTTCACCGACAACATGTTACAGAGTGCAGTTTCCTGCTAACAGGCAAAGGAACCAAAAAAACGGGTTGAGCCTGTCAATACTGCACATTGTAGTCACCACACTAATTCAACAGCTAGCGGCTCTATCTTTCCTCACGTTCCTCGTGGCCTCTGACAAGTCATCGTTTCAACCTATGAGACGGTCCGCTCTCCCTCATCGAAAATATATGTCAATGCAGGTTGTAAAATCAGCCTCACAAACTACTTTCCTACATTACCTTGCTGTGGGAAGAGCAGTGCCAGAATAAAAAGGTCGTACTGACAGGGAAGTTCCCTGAAGTGGTCTTTTCTACGGGTCGGACAGGAGCCACGAGCCCAGGAGACTAGGGTAAAAGGAAGCGGGCGGCCTTTACAGAAACCAGGATGGGGCAGAGGCTGCGAGTTGGCGACGCTGGCTCTGGGGTGGCCGGGTTCAGAAAGGAAGAGTGGAGGAGGGGAAGCGAGGCAGTAAGGTGCCGAAAACCGGGCGGCGGTCGGGTCCCGCGGCCGGACCCCACCCCGCACTCGGAACCCTCCCAGCCCCGGTATCCGGCGTGCGTTCCGCGTGTAACGCGTCTCTCCAGAGAAAAAGCCGCCGTCTCACACCCGTGGTACTGAGAAATCCGGCAACTTTGCGCTATAAATGCTTCCTACCCTGCAACACACCGAGGAAGAGAAAAATGTCAGGCGATGACGGGGAAGGAAGGATGACTTACCCATGTTCCTCCCAGAGGGTGAGGAGCCGGCAGGGCGAGGGGAAGGTCTCTCGTGCGAGCCGTGCGGCGCTATGTCCTCCCTCTACCTCCGTATCTCCCGCAGCCAGGGAGGGA